TTGATGCAACTGGAACAGGTGCACCTTTGCCTGGTTGACTGAATGCCTGAGCAGTTCTGTTTCCACTGTATGGTACCCATCCAGCTGCATTATTCTTACTATTTAATTTCTGTAATACCTTTCAAAGTATTTATATTCTTACTTGTTATTTTACACAAATTTCTAATTGAAAGTATCTTATACCAAAATATAATATACCTTATGCTTTATATCATCACCATTCCATATGACATCATCTTCCCAATGTAATTGTGATACCATTAAGAATGCATCATCAGAAAATTCTTCATTAGTATCTCTAGTATCTCTATTGTCTTTAATGCTTAGTTCATCTGGCTATTAGAAATATAATAATAGCAGTTTCTATGATAAATTGGTTTTTAGAAACATTTAATTATGAACTTCAAATTATATTCAATACATTACTCAATGATTTGACATGCATGTAAATTAATTACCTTATCAATAATTTTGAATCCATAGTTAAAACCATCTCCAGTTTCTGGAACTTGTAACATATCGTACCAAAGCTGTGCAGGGCCAAACCTCCAATCTGCTACTTTTGGTCCCATATCTCCATTTTCACCAGTTTCACCTGTTTTACCAATTTGTTCTTTATCTTCCACTGGCATTAATAATTTATTTTCATCATCAGAGCAACACATATCAGGAGTTGGATCTGCACCATATTGCATCATCCAACCCTAATGTAAAAATGTTTAATTATTAATATATGATTATCAATTTAAAATTGAGTTATTATTTGTACACACTTTAAACTTTGGTTTCTTCTCCTCTTGATCAGAACCAGAATCAGAATCTCTAACATCATGATGTCGTTTCTTTTTACGTCTTTTTTTAACACCCCTCCATATTTGTGGAAGACTACTAGGCTTTCCTGGACCAAATAATCTTGAAAATCTTAGAACTTTATTCGTTCGAAAATCAGGAAACAATTCAGTCACATCAACATTGGCATATTTTGATGGTAGCATAGAAGCAAGAGGGGTTTCTAATTTACGCTGACGAGCAGCTTCTGCTTCTTCTGCAGTAAGTATTTCCTTTTCTTCAGGTATTGGAGGAGGTGGCATTAATTGTGTATCAGATTTATTAATAACTTCTTCATCATCTGCATCGTAATCAGCATTTTCCTTTTCAATTTTTCTTTCAAACATGTCTTGTTTATCTAGCCATTAAAGTACTAATTATAAACAAAGCAAATATTTTACATCTATGTCTAATTTAATTCTTGAATAAAAAATATAATTTTGATTCTAATTTTTTTAATTATTCTACTCATACTTACTGTTTTCCTCTTTTTCTTCCTCTGCTAATTCATTTATGTCAGAAAAATCAAGAGCACTAGGTGATTTTTCAACGTAGTTACTATCTTTTTCATCAACTATATCATTTTCTTCTTCAAATTTATCAGTTGATTCATTCTCTTTCTCTTCAGTGATACTTTCATTTAGCATCATTTCACGAATAAATGAACTTAATCCAAGCCGATCCAATGACGCTATATGTTGCTTCGCCTCTGGATCAAGAATGTCATCTTCTAGTTGACCATTATCATCAATGTTTCCAAATAAAAAACCAGTCATATTAATTCCAGATATTATGTCTTTATCATTTTCTTCTTCCGAATCAGCCATTTTTTAAACCAAATTTTGGAAAACTAATATAATATTAAATTTTTTTTTTTAAATTATAAATTTTGTGGATGTACGGTAAACATATTCCGCAAGCACATTTCACTTGCACAATTTTTAATAATAGTATATTATATATTTACTTATTTACAGTTTATCATAAGTATTTGTTTATGTAAGTTTATTATAATTGTTATTATTTACAAGTGTTTATTAATTACAAAATTAATGTAACTTAACGTTTCGATTACATACGCCTTCCCATCAACTGACCGCCATGTTCTTTCACTTGTTATTATATAGGGGATTAAAATCGTGCTTTATTTCTTATATTTTAAAAATAAAATTCCTAGAAATATTGTTCTAGGTATTTTTAATATCACTAGACACAAGTTATCGTTACATTACCGCCTGAACTGGCTTTTAAAATTAAAATTGTGTAAGACGTTCAGGAAAAAAATACATATGTACATTGCCCAATATATTTGTTGCAAGTAATACATTAAAAAACAAAAAAAAAAAATGAGAATTCAAAGGTCAAAAATATGCTGTTCAAAAGGTTCGAGTTTATTTATGTATCACAGAAATATAGATAAATTAATAGTTTCTAACGTGGGATAGAATAAAATCGGAAATAAAATCATCAATTGGCTCGGTGAAATTTAATTTACCATCTAATTGATCTAACTACGAAAATTTAAGAAAACCTTATTCGGTCAGAATTAAAGTAGGGATAGAATAAAGAAGAAAATTTTCAAATTATTATATTCCTGTATTTAGAAAAGTTGTAACTCAAGTCGATTAATTTTATAAATAACAGTTGTTTTTAATGTATACGCACTCTGATAAACTGTGCGAACAATGCTTCATGAGTACCAATCTAAAACAATCTCGGTAAAAAATTAATAGGAACATTTCTTCTTTAATCGTTGACTACTATATACTGTAACATTATAATTTGAATACTCTAAGTTCATCGAATACTTTGGTATACAATTATTTTAAATTTGTATTTATAAAACTATATTATATCAGTTTATAATTTAATCTGATATACAATATAATATTTTTCTTAAAAGAGAACCAAAATGATTAAAAAATGAGCGATTTCTTATAGAAAAGATAAGACACAATTTATTTTTTGTTCATGTACAAAGTAATATTATTTTTATGGAAAGTAAAAGTGTAATATTAACACTAGGATTCAATTATGAAACACAAACGAAATTTTTACGAACTTTTTAAAGATAGTTACATTATTAAATGCTAACATAATGTTTGTTTAATAATGCTCTTTGTCATTGTCCTATCTGTACACTGTTATAATAAACGAATGTACCTAAAAAGATGAAATTTATTAAGAGAATTTAAAATTTTACATTATTAATTTTTTGCTTTTTATGAAAATCATTTACAAAGAATCTTATGTTTTGTAAGTAATATGTTTGTATGATGTAGATGTGTTTTCTACATAGTGCAAAATGCTGAAGAGACAACTAATGTGCCTTCATTTACATTGTATATCACTAACAATAACATAGCAGTAAGCCTGTTTTACAATATTTTTAGCCAAATTATTATAAAATGAAATGATACGTTTGGAGAAAAATAGTCTTTCTAATTTTTACAAATAGTAAAATCAGAATAATTAAAAATTTTAGGTAATACTACAGTGTGGTAAATGATTAAAATCTTAAGTTATTATCTGATGATATTAAACAATATAAAATGTATGTAAAAAAAATTGCTTTTCAAATAAAACGAACATGTAAATTGAACTGCATCTAGACATTAAATTTGACATATATAAAAAGTGTAAACAACTTTCCCACATTACGTTATGAAATGAAGTATTCTGTTGTATCAGAAAAAATAGAAAATAATTCATGCCTCTTTTTTTAAGTAAGCACTGGAACAGAAATTTTTTATCAAGTCCATTTTTAAACTATTGAAGGACAATCTTAAATCTCAACACAATCCTCCTCCTGTCTGTTGCTGATAAACTTCTATTGTATCTCCTTCTTCCATTTCAAGGGTTGTTGGAGTATCTAATTCATTTATGGGCTGACCATCAAATCTAAACCTTACTGCTGCTATCGCCAAGCCCTATACAAATGTAACACTCATACTATTGTACATATAGCAATCTTTAAGTATTTACATTACGAATAAAGTACAAATACATGAATTGAATATAGAACATATTATTTTAGAAGATATAACTTCAAATTATTTAACAACAAAACTTAATAATAAATTAATCATATACTTACCACACGATCACAATAAGCATTCATTAATTTCCTGAGTGGTGTGTGTTTCTTAATTTTAAACTGAACCACTGCACTATCTTGTCCCAGCACTTTTAAATTTATGTGCTCTGATTCTGTTTTCGTTTCCTGTAACAAAGGACGTTCTTGAATCGTCACTTACCATTATATTGGTTTTAAGGTTATAAAGTGTTACCTTCTTTTCGTCAGACATGTTTACAGTTTAACACAAATATGTTATCTTGTCACTGATTAATAAGAAAATTTCGACGAATTAATTACTAAACCAAATATCAGGCTACCTAAAATTCTTATAAATAAACGTACAAGTGAATCACTCGCAATAATCCCGCTCCTACCTTTATAGTTGTAATCACAACGTTTCCATCCTACACAAGTAACGTAGTATCATAGAAAGTTATTGGTATACACGCATTTTGAAAACCTGACATTCACGATTAATAAACTTTCTAGGGAATTTCGTTATTAAATCGTGGTAGATACGCATTTAATTACGATTTAGTGGAAAACAAAATGAGTATCACTTCACGCATATCAGAAAAACTGCGCAAAAATTTTCAATTTTGAAGAATTACAACAAATACATTTTATAATTATTATGTTACATCAGAATTAAATTCTAATTCAATATATTTACACCTTCATATTTAGATATTTGTCAGCGAAGTAGTACTCAATATTGAAATAAAAAGTACGAAAAGATTTAATTTTATTATATTTAACATTTATTGTTCTTCTTTTGTAACAATATGATAAAGCTATGATATTCATTTTATTTATAAAACCAAGTTTTTACATAATATTTCATTTTTCATATCCAAACTTATACATGACACTTTACTGAACTTCACCTAAATTTTATAGAGAACATTGTAATTCAGTTCTAAATGTTTAAAAAATACATTTCATATAAAATGTTCGTAAATTGCGACAGAATTGTAATTTATAATAAAATTACTAAACCTTTATATATGAATAACGGAAGAAATAGAATATATGATATTGAAATTATAAAATTTGAGGTTTAAAAACCAAAGTGAATATTCCACGTAATTAAAATTTGTTGGTCCTTAAAAGGACCGTTTCTTCAAGCAATAATTAATATTGCTTATTTTGAGCTGGTATATTTCGTGACTGCTTTGGTGCCTTCACTGACAGCGTGTTTTGCTAATTCACCAGGTAGCAGTAGTCTTACAGCAGTTTGAATTTCGCGAGAAGTAATGGTAGAACGTTTATTGTAATGTGCCAATCTTGATGCTTCTGCAGCAATGCGTTCGAAAACATCATTAACAAAACTGTTCATAATGCTCATTGCTTTACTAGATATCCCAGTATCAGGATGGACTTGTTTGAGTACTTTATAAATGTAAATAGCGTAACTTTCCTTCCTCCTCCTCTTTTTTTTCTTGTCAGCTTTACTGATATTCTTCTGAGCTTTACCAGCTTTCTTTACAGCTTTCCCACTAACTTTCGGCGGCATTGTAAAATATCAATGTCTTCAGGTAATCGAACTTGGAAGTTGAATATAACCGTATAGGTTACTCGACAAGCGAACGATTGAATGACTGCCGTGTACGGAGTGTGGCTTTTATATACTAGAGTGTAGGTAGCACCGAACCAATGAGCATTCAACTTGGAGTCGTTGATGCTTTTCAGTAATATGATTGGTGCGCTGGTACTATCATTGCATTCTCACGATGCAATTGATTTTATACGCATAAGATATCTAACATATTTTTACGGATCTTTTTCTTTCCTTTCTTTTCTTAAATTAAAAATGTACCAGTTATACTGTTTCTTTCTCATAATAAAGAACATGCGAAACCAATGTACAAAAATTAAAATAACAAATTATATAATTACATAATTTTCAATAAAAAATATAAGAAGTAAATATGAAATAATAAATTTAATAAAATATCTCTAAATTTTACAAAATAAATTAAAAAATTGAAGTGAAACTTCAAATTTGTAATATATGTTTAAAAAATAAAAAGAACATATATATGTAATATTAACAGTACTAGTTTAATAATAAAACTAAGAAAATTTAGTAAAACGTTTTTAGTTCTAAAATGTTTTTGAAAATAATATTTTTTCTATTTTATTGTTTATTTATTCTTTATGTCATTAATACACAATTAATCAATGTATTACAACAATATTTAATTTGTCAATTGCTTATTGGAAAATAAAATTTAATCTGTTTATTATCACTTTATCACTTTACTGTTTCGTATCATAAATTTATTATTTTACTTCATCGTGTTAAAAATTAAATTCTGTGTATATAGCATTTAAATCATAATTCCTATATTCCAATTTAAGCACACAGTGTTTTATCAAGTAAAATATTTATTAAAAATTTGGAATATATAAAAAATAATATAATAAATTGAATATTTTAAAAGTATTTATAGTTATAATTTACAAAGAATAAGTACACATGTATATTAAATATGTGCCACCATTTGCAACAACTTCCTTGTAGTATGACTTGGGAAATTTGTTTTAGTATCACAAATAAAACGAATCTGCTAATGGCTGTGCAATATTCACAATTTCCAATATTTTAACTATGTAAAATAATATTAAAAATAAAAGTTATAATTTACAAAAATTAAGTACACTTACATATTAAATAAAATACCTTTAATTATACAAACGTTAAAATTTTTCTTGCATTAATAATATATTCTTTTATAATATTTAAATGTTATATATCAATATAAAAAATACTTGTTCGTAACATTATAAAAAAGAAACACAATAGCCATAAATAGCCGACAAAACTCAGGAATCAGATAAAATTTCAAATATATTATCAAGTTAGAAGATCATTAATTTATAAAAATAATATAAACTGACAGACTATAGAACTATTGTACTTCCGAACCAATAAGAACGCTGCTCGTCTGCTATTGGTTAAATTTAGATGCCATGAACCCCTATATATTCACAGCATTGACTCGCAGGATCACATTCGCTTCATATCGTTTGTGTATAGAAGGTCTTTTAGAGAAGTTCTTATTTTGAAAAATTCAAGATGTCCAGCCGTGGTAAAGGAGGAAAAACAAAAACCAAGGGAAAGTCTCGTTCCCTTAAAGCTGGAATCCAATTTCCGGTCGGTCGTATTCATAGACTTCTAAGAAAAGGTAACTATGCAGAACGTGTTGGAACTGGTGCTCCAGTTTATTTAGCTGCAGTTATGGAATATTTGGCTGCTGAAGTTCTGGAATTAACTGGAAATGCAGCACGAGACAACAAAAGATCTAGAATTATTCCACGACATGTTCAACTTGCTATCCGTAATGACGAAGAATTGAATAAATTATTGGCTGGAGTCACTATTAGCGAAGGAGGTGTTCTACCAAACATTCAAGCGGCACTTCTACCAAGGAAAACTGAAAAGAAAACATAAACAACTTTTATCAAATGGCCCTTTTCAGGGCCACAAATTATTTGAACAGTAAGGGAGTTTTTCTCGGTTTATGCTTCATAAGTCTTTGATTTGTTAAATAAAAAATTACAAGTTTATCCCGAAGTTTGTTTAGACACACGATTTTAGTTCATTTTTTTTATTAAAAATATTTAAACATTTATATTTTAAATGTTTAAATATTATTAAATTGATAGGTATTTCAATTATTAAACAATCAAAGGAATAAAAATTAATTTGTACTATTACGTTGTATCTATAATTGCAAGTTTATATAGCATTATATTGATATTAAACATAATTCGGATTAGAGTCATAAACATTGTTTTTCGTGAAGATTCTATACATAAATCTTTTGAATATTTCATGTCAAACTTGATGCAAGGCCTAAAAATTGTCTTTCATACCCTTTATAAAGCGGAACGAACAGCTGCAATCCATCAGGCACAAAGATCCGAATTGTAACAAAATTGTAACAACTTTTGATTATTATTCGTTGATGGCAGCTACAAATATTATAGCTATACATATATATAAGTTTTATGCACACACGCGTGCGTGTGCGTACATATAATATAGACACGTATTGTATCTTCCTCCTTTTACACACTCTGTGTGTGATACAACAATATATATTAAAATGATTAATAGCATAATAGTATAGAATAAGTATTTAATAAAATGTAGATGTAATACGTGAAAATTGTATCTAAAAATGATTGTAAAAAAAAGTGAGAATTTTTATTTGACATTATCTATTTTATAAAAATGCATTTGTGACAGTAATTTAGAAATGCACTACGAAAAAATATATAAATTTATACAATATAGGTAAATTTTTTACTGTTCTAATAATAAAATATTTTGGTATATATTCACGATTAATTTTTTGACATTGTTTCAGTAGTCCAGTGTTTTTTAAATCTAACCTATCAAACACAGTAAAATTTACATGTAGAAAAATGTCAACTGATATAAGATCTATGGAAAAATCCAAATCCGTATTAAAAAATATGTATTTTGCTGGTGTTAATGCAGTTTCACCACAAATTCTTGTAAAAAATAAGGTTAATTTTAAAGATGGAATTTTATTCATTGGAGACCAAAGTTTTGAACTCAAAGAAAATGTTTACTTAGTTGGTTTTGGCAAAGCTGTCATGGGTATGGCAATAGTTCTTGAGCATATACTTGGCAAATATCTGAAGAAGGGTATAGTTAGTGTTCCTTCTGCATCAATGAATGTACTATGGGAGTCTGAAGACAAATCATATTTTCCTTTATTAGAAACTGGTGTAGTAAAATACTATGAAGGTTCTGAAAATAATCAACCAGATGATAGATCTCTAGAGACAACACATGAAATTATAGACTTAGTAGAATCCCTCACAGAAAATGATATTTTAATTGTGTTGATATCTGGTGGTGGTTCTGCACTGCTTTATATGCCAAGACCAGTAATTGATTGTGAAGATAAATTACATGTGTGTAAAATGCTTCAAGCAGCAGGAGCTGATATTAAAGAACTCAACATAATTAGAAGCAAATTATCTATGGTGAAAGGTGGTGGTTTAGCTCGAATGGCTTATCCAGCTTCAATTATTGGTTTAATATTGTCTGATATTGTAGGTGATCCTATAGAGTTAATTGCTAGTGGCCCAACAGTATACAGTGATAAAAAGCCAAAAGAAGTAATAGCTATATTGAAAAAGTATAACTTATTTGAATATGTAGAAGGAGATGTAAAGAAAGTTTTAATATCAAAAGAAAGATTCAAAGATAAACAATTACTAATTCGAAGAAAAAAGCAATTTAAACATGTAACTAATATTATTTTGGGAAATAATACTGTGGCAATTGAAGCAGCTTCTTTAGAAGCAAACCATCATAAATTAACTCCAATAATATTAAGGTCTGATGTCGTAGGTGATGTACATGATGTTAGTTTAGCATATGCTCATATAACAAGTTTAATATGCCTTGCATTAGACAAAACATTAGAAAAAGAAGAGTTTTTTGAAAAAGTAAAAGATATTCCTATACTTTCTTTATCTGCTGCTAAAGTAGATGAGATTTTTAATTTAATTGATAACGTGAGCGAAGAAGGATTAGTATTGATTGGAGGAGGAGAACCAACGGTAGTGGTTAAAGGAAATGGGAAAGGAGGTAGAAATCAAGAATTAGCACTGCATTTTTCTTTAGATTGGTTGGCAAAAATTAAAAGCTATCCTCGATTTTCGGAATATGAAATAATAATGTTAAGTGCAGGAACAGATGGTCAAGATGGTCCAACTGATGCAGCAGGTGCATTTGGGTATCCTGCTATAGGCCCACTAATTCATGATGTATATACAAAAGTAAAATCTTTAGCTTCAAGAGTGATAATTCAAGTAAAGGAAAAGGAAGAAGCTATTAAAAAGAAAGAGAAAGAACAAGAACAATTTAACATACAACAGCAACAACATAAAGAAATATGCAAAAGACAAGAATTAAGTGGTTTTTTAACAAGTAAAGAGTTAGAAATGTCAAAAGAAGAAGTTGACATTAATAAAGATGAAACAGATAAAGGCCATGTTGATACTGTACTTCCATTTATACTTCAAATGATGGAAGTAGAGCATATGTTACCTGAAAATACTTTAAAAGAAAACAATACATACAATTTATATTCTAGATTTAAGAAAGGTTCAGATTTATTTAAAACTGGTTTTACTGGTACCAATGTTATGGATTTACATTTTATTTATATAAAAAAACGTAAATGTGACTGTAAAATAGATTTTGGAAAAGAAATATTTGAAAATACTTTAGATATGCATGATTTGCATATTGATCCTTCAACTATTGAAAGATATAAAAGTTCATTTGAACGAGAACATTTTGATTGGGATACATTTTTACCTCGATTATCACTTATGATCGATGAAAAAGTTGATCAACTTAATATAAAAATTATTGATGATAATTTGACAGATCCATGTTGTCGTAAAGAAAGAAAATTTCCACTAAAGAATCTTTTAAAGGGTAAAGACCTTCCACTGTAATATATTATATAAAAAGAACAACATGTTTATATACTATATTAGAAATGTTAAAAATGTAAATTAAAAAGTTTTACTTTTTATAGATAGATGTTTGTGTACACCAAAATTTAAATTTAAATAAAATATATGCACAGATAAATTATTCTATTCAAGTCGAATTTTAATCTGCAATAACAATTAAATAATTTTTGTAAAGCTGTATGAGGATGTTGAGAGAATAAAAAGATGAGAGGAAAATGTGTTATACCTATTTATGTCATTTTATTGTTTTGTTTCTCTCGCCCAACGCGTCACGTGGTAGACATGGGCGGAAGACGGGTAGAAAAAGACAGAAAGGCTCCAGCAAAGAAAATTAACTAATTACTCAATCCTGGCTATTAATTTATGAACTTTTATAGCCTTATCGCAAAGCTGAAACTCTGAGCAACATTCTTATTCTACTTTAGTACATAATTTGTTGTTAATTAGTGTGTTATTAATTATCATTTGAAAGCGTGGGTGATTTGATAACAACGACGAGCATGATTGTCGGTCGAAATATTTAATTATGTTCAAAACTAGAAGAAAAATATGATCGAAAGGTATATGCGAAGGTGCACAAGAATATTGTTTTTATAATGAATGCATAAAAGTCAAAAATTAATTGCGTGAAAGATAGTTATTAATGAGAAACCATTGAGATATCCGGCAACATTTTAAACACGTCATGGAATAATTATTAATAATAAAATAATTAAAAAGAAATTGTTATCGAAAGTTATATGAGAAAGTTCGCCAAGGTTCTGCCTTTATGATGAGGTTATAAAAATTCATAAATTAATCGCAGAAATTGAGTAATCTGTTAAATTTCCATGGTCGAATTGATTTCTTAGGAAGTGTCAGGAGCATATCATAATCAGAGTTAGTAATCTAGTAAATTGAAATCAATGCCATCTATGAGTTTAGACTCGAACCTCAGGTTCGTAAGATGAGCACAGATAGCGCCAGGAGAGTTCCTAACCCACCTAACGTCATGGCGGACCAAAGGAAACAATAAACCGACATAAATAACTAATACATGTTCTCTTCCCTTGTTTTTATTCACTTAAGAACCCCATAAAGTTTTCTACATTCTTTAATAAATTCAGCCCAAGGAGTGGTTTTAATTGTACAATCAGCATTCGCTTCTTTACCTGGCAGACGAGAAATCTGCATGGTACGTATGTCAATACAATGGTAAAAGCTCCTGTATTAATCACAGAAATTGACTAATTTGTTAATTTTTTTTCCAAGAGAACAGAAGAGTGCCTAAAAAATGGGAAAAGAATTGCAAAAAAACGCAGGAAGCATTGTTGTGTCCATGGAGGTGTGCCTGCAGTAAGCAAAAGAATGTAAGTTTCTGTATTAACCTAACCTTATGTTGTAATTAAATAGTGTAACATATAAGCCATTGTTTTTCTATCTTTTATTAGTGATAGCAGAGCCTGGTTATAAAATGACAATATTCTGTTGAAGTGAATGGACACGTGCAACAGGATAAAAATATTGGACTCATAAAATATCATCAGCATAGAGTCACTAGGTGCCACTAATTATTTTTTATACGAATAAAATATTGAAATAGTAATGCAAGTATGTAAGGTTTGATGTGTCCATGATATGTCCATTTGATTTTAGGTTGGCTGGCCTTATAACATACAAGACAGAAATATTTGAGTACGAAATGAAGATTGAGAAAAGGGAGGTGGATGTGACAGATAAAAAGGGACTAAAATTAAATTAGGTGATGTTATCTTGTATCAACATGATATGGTGAAAGGTACGTTGTGATCCTGATTTGAATAAATATTGATATCAGTGGTCAAAGCCACCGACGAACGCTAATGTGTTAAGTTTCAGAAAGTTGGAGCTAAATTGTATAAAGAAAAGAGAAAAGTTCAAGTGAAAGCAGTGAGAACAGAAAATACATATTATGTAAAATCAAGAAACAGAAAAGAGGCAGCATATCTATGAACAGAGAAAGATGTGTGACATCGATGATTGGATCATGCAAATATGAGAACCATTGAAGAGATGGAGAATGAACAATTGGTAATAGTTACAAAAGTTAAAGATAAATTGAATATAGAGTGTAAATGTTGCATTAAGGCACAAATGTGTAGAAATATCTATAGGAACATGGAAAAAGTAAAAGCAGCAGGAA